AATTCACAAGAGAAAATATTGTTGTAAAAATTATTTCATAAATATTTAAAAAAGTTATTTATTGATAAATATGTATATATATATATATATATATATATATATATATATATATATATATATATATATATATATATATATATATATATATATATATTGAAATGTTCGCTAGTAATAAAATATTTTTTCACTATTTTAGTTTTTTTTAAGACCGCCACTCCGGACCATCTTCTTCCACATAAATACACCCACACGTATTGGATTGGCAAATAAGTCCTTTCGGTTTATCAGGGTGAAATACAACTGAATGTATTATAGACATAAGATTTATTTTAATCTACGATATATTAACCATTATTTAATATTACTTTTCTCCATCTTTCCACTACCTGCATAATGCCATGTTCATAGAATATCTGGAGATTATTGTTAAAAAACTGAAAGATGAATCCGTTGGAAAGATGAATTATTGCTCTTCAAAGCCGTATGAATGTGTGTTAATGCCCACATAAGGAATAAATAAACAAAAACTCCTTATTGGATTTTATTTTTGATCTCCATTGGTATTTTGTTTGCGAAGGTCCTGTTGATGTTATTTTGTGTAGCTTATGTGAATAGCCCTAAATATCTTGTAAATAGCGAAAGTCATATTGAAGTTATAACATTTTTTGTGATTTTGAAAAAAAAAAAGTTATGTGAGGGACTCCAAACATTAAGCCTGGAATCTTAGAAAAGTTTGTGCAAATGGTTTTCTACGCTTGTGTGCGACACACTTAAATGTTGGCTTAAATTAGTTAATGAGAGTTGGCTCCAAATTAAATATTTTATTTATTTTAAATTAAATTAAAACATTTTAAAAAATTACCATTTTAGATATTTTGTTAAATAGGTAAAACTCGAAACAACACGGGGACTGTGACCGCGTCTAACGTGTTAAAAACCGTAAAACAGCGCGGTTGACTAAAATTTAAACCCATTTTATTCCATTATTCTGCCTAGAAAACAACCGTACACGCAAAATTTCCTTTTATTTGATACAAAGTGAATAGTATACATTTCTGTTTATTTTTTATTTATTGTTTTATATTACATTGTTTCACAACTAAGGACATTATTAACAGTGATAAAAATGTTCATATAGGCCATATTTAAAATAATTTAAATAGCATAACAGCAAAATAATAACATTAAAAATTAATATAAAATAAACTTCATCTAAATAAAAAATAAGAACTTAAATACAGGTATATTTATATACAATACTTAAAAACGTTCATTCAGGAGAACTATGATCAAAGCCTTTCTCCAAACCTGTGGAGGGAAAAGCAGGACTGTAGGAGATTCTAGTGCTTCTCTATCAGCGGTATTAATGGCCAGCGGATACTGGCGTCGTGGCCTATATATATACTGGCCATTGGCTGAACTTAAATATATACTTAATTTACGAAAGGTCTCGGGGCCATTGCCGTTTCAATCTTCGAGGAGGATTATAAGGATTCGTGGGTGGTGAGCTAGATAGGGAATGCACATGGGAATGTGGATGATATTTATGATTTGGTGAATTTTTGTGGGGTAAGGTTTAGAATAAGCGGAATATTAATTTCATTGTGTAGGATGATTTCTAATTAAGTAAAGTTTCGGAAAAACACATTGAAAAATCTACATTGGACATCGAAATTATTAAAAATGTTCATTAGTTTGTTATATTGAATATTGAATAGTTGACCGTTGCATTATGAAGGAAGGAGATGGTCCTGGGTGGCGGTCATAAATAGGCTAAATAGTGGCAAAACTATTTTATTAGAAACCAACGTTTTCTTTTTTCTTTTCTTCCTCAACATTCCTTTGTGTCTATTATTTCATATTATATCCTTTTTCCTTTTCCTTCAATCTGTCCTGTAGATCTATAAAAGTATATTCACATTTGCATATAATATATATTGCACTACAACAATTGTTACCTATCTATTTACTTCAGTTTAGGATCTTGTTACTTAGCTTACTCTGCCTATATTTTAATGTACTTACTGTTTATAATTTAAATAAGCTTATTCACATTGTTTATAATTTTTTGTCTAAATATTATGTAAATTCCATAATTCTTTATATCCTTTTGTATCTTGTCCGTTCTAGCCCTGAAGAAGACCTGCAAAGTCGGGTCGAAACGTTGGCTTTTAATAAAATAGTTTTGCCACTATTTAGCCTATTTATGACCGCCACCCCGGATCATCTCCTTCCTTTATTAGTTTGTAATGTTTATTGGATATGATTTAAAACCCAGAAAGTTAGGTTCCGCGCTTGTTAAAAGAGATGTATTGAAAACAATGAAATACAGCTTAAAAAGTTTGAATAAAGAGGGGGAAAAATACAACATATACTACATGATATACGTCTGTCAATGAATATTCGAGGGATAAACGAATACAGTGAATTTATAACGGCAATCCGGAACGCAGAGCAGGTTGCATGAAACCAGGGTAAACCCAATTTATTAATGCCAAAACGGGAATTCCATGGGTCAAAGGTATTGCTGTGTATCTGGTGTGACCAGAAGGGCGTAATATATCAATAGCTGCTCCAACCACCTGTAACCATTACGGACCGCTGAATTGCACTTACCGGGTTCGAAACCAGTTCACAAAAAAGTGGATATGGTGTGGGAATAGATATACGAGGATTGTTTATTACTTCAGCCAAAAAATAATAAAATAAAAAATAAGTGAAATCGTTTTTTTGACAGTATTGCAGAAGTACTCAAAGCATTTCTCATATATAATGCAAATTTTTTTGACAGTTTTTTTTTCAAGCATCACTTCCAATTTTATTTTAATAAAAAATAATTTAATTGATGATGGGATGATTGCGAAAACCGAACAGGACTTCATCGTTAATATTTTGTCCAATTAGTCATTTCTGACGGCATTTGAGAATTCCAATAGAACAGTTCTGCTGACTATTTCTTTGGGGGATACACACCATAAAGGTGAATGTGTATGGAATTAGCTGAAGACACTTATCCAATAAAAGAAAAATACTTTAGCATCAATAACTGATGACATATGTCGTATTATCGGATATGGTATTGCCCAAAATCGGTCTTGGTCTTGCACTTTGCTGGTGCAAGAGTAACATCAAGACTATTAAAAAAAAAATCGATTTTTTGAATAAAGATTAAGTCAAAATAGTTACTATTACTTGACAATTTTAACTCTTCTAATTTTTTATTCGAGCTTAGTTAGGTTACTCACATCTAAAAAGTTACGAAGAGAAGGATAGTTGGGGTGATCAGTCAAAAATAACTATCCTCTTCATTATTCACTACAGTGAACCATCAACACAAAACTAAAAAATTACATTAATATCTCTGTAGTAATAAGCTAATAGGTAACTGTGAGACTCTTGCGCAAGACCAAGACCAAGACTGAGTTTGCAAGACCAATACTCACTCGTCTCGGTCTCGCATTTGGGCAAGACCAAAACCAAGACTGAGCAACACTTCTTCCCTTAAGATTAAAAGCATTTCGCGAGCATAACGGATGCCATATTTACAATATTATTTTTAATAAGCTATTTTATCAATTTACTCACTTTTGAATAATAAAGTTATTTTCTTATTAGATTTTTATTTTTAAATATAGAAATAATCTAAAATAAAATGTTGACATTGAAATGTCTCTTATCAAAACATTTGGCTATATTCAGATTTTTTTTTCTAAATGGACATAATCAACTATTACAAGCGTTTAAAAATGTTAAAATATGATTTAACATTAATGAATTATTTGGGAGGCTTCCAACATAGCATAGAGATAATGCTTGTTACTAATTTGAGTTTCATTCCTTATATCAATTTTAAGACATAATTATAATTTCTTCTTCTTCCATGGCCCTACAACTCGGCCTCCTGCATCTTCAAGCGCCAGTCACCTCAGAGAAGTGCAGCAGCCTTCCAATCGTGGACTCCAAGTATAGCTCGGACATCTGCTTCCACTCCATCAGCCCATCTTAAGTTTTGTTCTGCCTACACGCCTTGTGTAAATTCGCTCCTCTAATAATTTTCTCAATATGTGATCTGGGGGCACGGAGCGAACGTGTCCAGCCCAACTTAATTTACCAATCCTTATTACTCTCACAACATTGGCATCTCGATTTAGATCCTGTTACTCACCATTCGCTAGCGTTCGCCATTGATATTTGTTATTGAGTACTGGGCCGAATATTCTTCTAAGAAAGCGGCGTTCGAAACTGTGAAGTGCTTCTTCTTGACGGAGTTAAGAATAAATAAACTTTTAAAACAGTTTCAGCGAAACAAATGCCTCATCCGAGATATGCTTCTCTATGCTTCATATTTATAAACAATTCATTGAAGAATATTGTTATCAGGAACATTAAAATTAATTATCTCTTAATTCCAGTTATAGCTACAGATAAATGTGTCATTAATAGCCTAATAAATAATCATAATGACTCTTTCCGTATTGAAATAGATTATGATCGGAAACGACAGGAAGGAATCAATCAAAAGTCGCCATGCATTTCTTCCACTGATAATTTCCATAAATGTCTATTTCCGCGACTAAGACTCGATAAATGTCATGATTTGTGATATACTGATTATTTGTTTTTAATATTGAAACAGGGTATAAATAATTATGATTCATTCAATCTTCAGCCCCATTCACTTAATTTATATTTAATATATTATAATGTCAATATGTGTAATTCTGAAAAAAGTATACTTGAGGCGATTGCTAAAACAATAATTTATATTAAAAACATGTTACAGAGGTAAAACAATTGAACTGAATAAAAGTTTTTTTCTTTCTACGGTTTTCATGAAGTGAAATATTTCCTAAATACAAGTTTATTTATAAACAGATGTTATCAAAATTAACAATGTAATATTATATTATATTACGTACACAAAATTATCAATAGAATTTACATATGTTTGTATAAATAAATATATATTCATGTATTTTAAAATGTCAATTTATTTGCAGGATCTAGCGGCAGCGGGATGTTTAAGGTTGATGAATCAGATCCCGTTGGGGGTAAGTCAATTACAACTGTATTCTTTGTAATAATATATATTATTATTTTATATTAGAACATATATATATATATATATATATATATATATATATATATATATATATATATATATATATATATATATATATATATATATATATATATATATTATAATTCACACGACTAACTTTAAATATCCAGTCAAGAAAACAAAACCATATGGAAATGTTCAACATATAAATATTTCATATATATATCATAATATACGCAGTTTAATATGGAATTCAACCGTTCTATATACAGATATTATTATTTTTTACGTATGAAAGAATTCAATAAAATATTAATCCCGGATTCCAGAATAAATAAATTACTTCCTCGTCCCTCTTTGCCCGTGGGTATAAAATAGGAAATAATAAAGGAAGGTAAGCAGTAAAAATAAATAACTAAAAAATAATTACTAGGTCAATCCATTTGAAACCAGCCCCATTTGCTAAACATGTTTTATTTTTGTTTACTTGTTATTTTCTTATTTTTTGGTGAATTCAAAACCGCTGTTAATTTTTTTTTTAAGTCACTCACTTTTTTCTTTCCGACCATTTTGTAATTACTTTTTGACTGAAATTATGTTTAGGGATAATGTCTCTTAACTTAAATTTAATATATCTAACGGTAATCTTGTAAATATTAAATCGAAATTAAAACTAAAGGAAACTTGTTAAAAATAAATGATGACAATGGGCATGAAACAAGACACAAGACTTTTAATCTTTTGAAGGAGTGATAAAATAAAAATACTCACATTTTTTTTTTTTTTTTTTGGCCTATAGCGCTATTATCGTACTACATGCTGAAAAGAACTATTTCTTATGAACCTTGAACTAACATAAACATGAGTTTTCAAAAACGGCCAAAAGTCGTTTTCGCCGATTTTTGAAGATGAATATCACAAAAGGGACTGCTTGAAAAAATTAAGAAACTATGTCAGGATAGGAACATATGACACGAATTTGTTCCCAGAGACTCAAATAATAAATAATTATTATTTATAACGAAAAAAAATTGCTACGTAATGAGTGTCGGCCTCAGCGTACCATATTTTTACTCAATTCAAAAGCAAAAATTAAAATAATGATAATGTTTTGCTCTACATTTTTTATCCCTAGAAAACATCCCCTGAGTAGTGGAGAAAGTGATTAAAGAAATTTACAACTATAATATAAAAATTAATGTCAAACGAGATTTTAGCACTGTAAAAGTGTAATAATAATGAACTTAGTTTCACCTGTATTTTTATTTTTTATAGTCCTATGACTGTACTACTCGCTAAAGAAATTTCAACGTTGTAGTTACTGTTGCCCAAAATAGGTCTTGGTCTTGCACTTTGCTAGACCAAGACCAAGATTGCCTAACTGTTGCAAGACCAAGATCAGGACTGGTAAAAAAAATCGATTTTTTCAATAAAAATTAAGGCAAAATAGTTACTAATACTTGACAATCTTATTTATATGTTAATAATTGATAAAACCAATATACTTTTGCATTTAACTCCCCTAATTTTTCATTCGGGCTTAGTTAGGTTTCTCCTATCTAAGAAAACACAGTAACATCTCTGTAGTAATTAGCTAATAAGTAACTGCAAGACTGCTGCGAGACTCTTGCGCAAGACCAAGACCATGACCAAGATTGACTTAGCAAGATCAAGACTCGTCTCGGTCTCGCATTTGGGCAACACTAGTTGTAGTAGGCCTTGCAATTTTTTAAATATGAATTTCAAAAAATTTAAAAATTTTGAATTATTTTTGTATTAATATGTTTAAAAATATGTCTATGTGCTGGAAAAAAAAAAGATTACATCAGTCATTCAGAATCCTGAAACACGGCTTTATTCGGGTAGATGTCGAAAAATTACAAAATACGTATTTGCTTCTGGATTTTGAATTCATAGCCTGATCTATAGATATAATCATGAACGAGTTGATCTTCCTGTTCGATATTTTTAAGTTGAACATTGTAATATTTACAAACCAATAGATAACTTTTAAAAAATATAAGAACATTGGAATTTATCACTGATCTATAAATATATAGATGTTTCAAAACAATTTTTATATTTAGGATAAATTTTCACAATACGCTTTATAAATAGTCTATCTAACTCCGTTTTTTTTATTTTTTTTTTCTTATACAAGAATAGACATTATATTGTTTGCAATCATAAAATGGATTTCTATAGATACTCTCGAAATAGAACGTCAAAGATCAGGCGCTTCAATGTCATCAATTAAAATAGATTCTCGGGGTGTTATTCTAAACAGCTAATGCACATTCTATCTTTCAATATTTATTCTGTTTAAATATTTATTATATTTTTTATAATATATGATTATAAAGAATGATTACAATTTTCCAGAAAAATGGTACACGTAATTTAGTTATTCTGAAATTAATCTATCACATTATAATATATTTCACTTACCTACATATGATATATATAGTAAGGGTAAGTATCGCGGTCGTGTAAAATTTTAAATCTCAGTTTTCAACGGAAATACACGTTTTTAGGAAGTATATTAGTGTATTATTAAACAGTTTTTAATATAATGTTGTTTTTATTCTTATTGATGTTCTCCAACAGACCTTAAATGGCTAATTTTAAATATTAGTATCCTCCAAAGTACCTTTAATTTATTTTATTTGAAATTGTTAACCATATCACATTAATCTTTGAAATAAAAAATAGTTTTTTTTTTTTTAACTATTTATTCAAGATATTTACAACTGTATTGCAATATAAATACATCAAGTAAATGTGTACACAAGAATATAATAACTTGAAAACGCTTGTTGAGAAACTACCCACATGTAGCACTCTAATAATATGTATATATGAGGGGATCACGAGACCATCTTCTTTTCAGATGCCTCGGAGGGTTATCAGGAATCGAAGAGGAAGTAAGGTTAGAAACGAGAGGGTTCGGATGGTTATGAAGTTTATTATGGAAGGACAGGTATCTGGATTGGGCCAAACCGGAAACATATAGAACATTAAGGTCATTATGGATTATTTTATTTGTGACAAAGTAAAGAGCATTGAGGATTTTATGAAGAATATTGGATTGTAAGGATTGGATGCGAGAGGAATTTGATGGTTTAGTGGAGCCCCATAGCTCAACTAAGTCCAAATAGGTCTTAGTATAGTCAGGTATATTAGTCTTTTGTCATTAATTGAAAGTTTAGAGCGTTTAGTAAGTGTTGTAGCGTCTAGTAAGTGTTGTAGTAAGCGGAAACGTCGAGCAGTTTCTTGTTGTTTCAATCTTGTATGAGGATTTGTCGAGGTGGAGTCCAATATATTGTATTTGTTCAATAGGGATAAGTGGGGTGTTATTAAAGGATACTGTAGGACAGGAAGTCATAGGTTTACGACAAAGGGTAATGGTGAGTTGTTGGGATTTATTGGAATTTATTTTAATCCTCCATTTTTGACACCATTCTTCAAGGTTTGTGATGTGTTATTGAAGAGTTTGGGATGCAATTGATGGATCGTTAATAACTGATAGGATACATGTGTCATCGGCAGAGGTGGTGATAACATTGTTAGAATGGGTTGGGATATCAGCTGTATAAACTGTGTAAAGGATAGGACCAAGGATACTACCTTGTGGAACACCAGAAGATCAAGCGCCCGAGCTCATCTGAAAGATTAGAACAGGCTTCTATGCATAACCTGCGCTTCGACAACTTTATGTACATATACATATGCGGTTTTCATAAATTCTATCGTATTATTTAATATTTAATTGTATGGATTACAGCGATATAAAAATTAAAATTTGTAGGTATAAGGTTAATTAAACAAATAAAAATACCCACAATGAAATGTAAATATAGTGTCTATAATATTTACTTTCACTTCTCCTTTGTCTGAACAAATTTATTTCTGCAAAGAAGAGGGTGTTAAGTGGAAATCCTGTGATGCGCGCACCGTTTTTTATAAAAAAAATTTAATTATACCCTGACGATTTTTAAAATGCGAAGCGCATTTTTACAAATAAATATAAAATTAATAAAAGTGATGATTTAGTTTTTAATGCATGAACTTCCGTTCATGATACAAGTAGAAACCTCTGAAATTTTATTAATTCAAACGGCCCTAAGATAAAACTTTCCTAAAGTATTTTCCATAAAGCTCTTAACTTACATAGTAAATTCTTTAGAAAAATCAGGAAATAAAGTTATGAACAAAGAAAAATTTTATTTTGTCTTTAAATCAAAAAGTAAATAGAATATGAACACTTATACACAAGAACAAATAAAAGATAAAAAAAGAATCAACTAAATCGGAACTGTATAACTAACATATTACTTATAGGACTTTGTACCTATTTTTGATTTCATAAGATTTCATTAAAAAAATTATTGTAGGGTCTTGGATTCAATATTTCTTAAGGGAATACTGTTTCAAAGCCAACGGTTGTGCAGGGAGGTCCAGATCACGTTTAACCGCCAAGTATTTCTCCTTAATCAATTTAATTAAGGTTACCCACATTATAGAAGCTAGGTGTGCCCTATGAGGGTATGCCGACTCCATGGTCGATCCACAGCTGTAACAGAATCAATAATTACGTGTCAGGCGAACCTGGGACCTTGAGCATTGGAAATCAGTTCCTTAATCACTGAGCTATCTCGCGTCTGCTATTAGGTAAGGAAATTATTGTGATCAGGAATATTTCTCTATTTGCAGTTTTCGATTGATATTCATTTCCTAGTGACCCTTAAGGTCAAAAAACTCGTTTTTGACCATTGGTCTTTGTCAGGTTTATCTCTTGATCGGCTGAAACGATTTTGTCGATTAATATATTTATTTTATTGGATTTTGTTCCGCGTTACCTCTTACCGAATTGGATACCCTGTGCGCTACATCCGAAAAATGTGTTTTTGTATTACCTTTCGTGCAATAACGACTAGTTTTAATGTAAGTTATGGAAGTTTTAGTGTATAGTTCATATATTGGAAATAG